CAGCCCGCGCCGGGCGGCGGCCCCGGGGCGCGCAGCGAGCGCGCGGGGTCACAGCGGCGGCTCGGGCGCCTCGGGAGACCGGACACGCCAGGGTGTGGCTCGGGGAGCGCACGGGAAGGGAGAGCTCTCGAGCGCGGGGGGGGCAGCAGCGCTACCCGGGCTGCCAAAAAGTAATAAAAAAATAAAACAAACGGGGAAAAACCCCAAACAAAAAAATACCAAAAAAATCCAACACCAAAGTAAAAGCCAACCTCCCACTGCCCCTCAGTAACTAGAACACCGGACTCGGCGGTGATCGAAACTTTGTGTCACCTCGTAACGCCGCATCCCGTGGGAACACAAGAAAGGAGAGCCGGGCCCGGGCAGTACAATAAATAAATAAAAGCAGCGACAGAGGGGCCCGATCGCTTCCACGCCCGCTCGCGGGGGCGAGGACAGAGGGGTGGGGGGGGAAATTGAGGTCGGTGGGTCCCGGATTTCCACGGGGCAGACGGATTATACAACGCTGCCAGAAGAGAGGAAGGCATGGAGGCAGCGCGGCCGGAGCGCAGCGGTGCGGGCCCCCAAGGCCAGCACGCCCAGCACCCAGGGATGCGCTCGGGCAGGGACAGGAATTCCCAGAAAACAGGGCCTCCCAGCCCAGCCATCTGCGGCCGCTCTCCTCTGCCCCTCGTCCCTAACCGCAGCAACTATATATACATATATACACACGTATATCTATATCTTATTTTTTTTTTAATCCGTGTAGCGAAAATAAGCGCCCAGAAAAGAGAAACACCAGGAAAGCTCTCGTTTCCTACCTGGGCAGGGTTCAGCTCAGTTCAGTGCGTGCCGAGGAGGAGGGGGCAGAGGAGCACTATCTAAAACAAAAGTGGCGCCAAAACCCCCCAGTAAGAAGCATTCTCCTTCCTCCTCCTCCTCCTCCTGCCCCCCTCCCCCACCGGGGCCGGCGAGAGCCCAGCGGGGTTCCAGCAACACGCGGCTCCCGGCATCGGGCGTCCCCGGCACAAGTTGGCAAGCGCCCTTTCTTTACAAAAAAAAAAAAAAAAAAAAAAAAAAAAAAGAAGCCGAACGGAACCTGCCACAACTCTTCCTCTTAGCGGACAGCAGCCGAGGAGCTCGGCCAAAGTCACTCGGAGGGGAAAACTCGACCCACAAAGGCCTTCGCCGTGCTGGGCGCCGGGGCGGGGGGCAGCGAATGGAGGCGGGGGGGAAGGTGCAGGTCAGTCCCTACCGACCTCCTCACTCGGGCCGAAGGAGCCCCGCTTCCGCCAGCCCTCCTGTGCAATCACGGGGAAGGGCGACCAGAGTTCCCCAGCTCTGGGAAGAGAGGCTGAGGAGACAAACCGCGATCCCTCGGCACTTCCCTGCGCGGGGAACCCGCCGGGAGCGGGCTGGAAGGAAGAACTCGGCTGCTGGGCAGCGGGGAGCAGGGGGAAGGGAGCGCTGTCAGGGGTGCGAGTCCCCTGCCCGCGGCCTCCCCCGACACTCGACCCCGGGGCACGGGCAGCCGCCCCACCATTTTCTCTGCGCGGCCCAGCGCTCCCCCCGAGCGCCGCTCGGGCCCCGACCCCATTCCCCTCGCTTGCCCACCCGAGCGGCTCGGCCCGGCCCGGCTCGCCCGCACACACACCCCACGCACACAATGCCCGAGTCCTCCATCTTGCCGGCAGCCCCTGCTCGGCTCGGCAGAAGGGGGGAGGAGGAGGAGGAGGAGAAGGCGGTTCTCCATTTTAGCTCGCCGAGCGCCGGGCCCGGCCTGCCCGCGGCCGGCTCTGGGGAGGAGGAAGGGGGCCGGGGCGGGCAGGGGGGCCGCTTTCGGCACCCTCTCGCTCTCTCACTCGCGCTCCGCTCGCCTCCCCCCTCCCCGCCGCGGCGCGCCGGGAACGGGGGGTGGGGAAGCGGGGGGCTGGAGTGTTTTCGCGGCTCGGCCCCGCCGTCCTCCATCTTGGCTGCGCGCAGTCCCCGCGGCCAGCCGGCCTGGCGCCCCGTGCGGGCCCGGGGGCCGCGGGCCCCGGCCCGGCCTCTCATCGCCGCGGCGCGCCGCGATCCCGTGTCCCCCCGCCAAACTTCCAGAAGCTTCGCCGCCATTTTCTAACTTACCTTGCCCAGTGTCGGCGTAGGCAGCGAGGAGGCCCCGGCGCGCAGCTCCGCTCCCGTATCCCCGGCGCGGCTCGCCGGCTGCGCGCCCGTCCCGGCCGGTGCCGGGCTGTGGGCGCGGAGGGGGCGCGGGGCGCGGGCGGGTCGGGGTTATTTAATTTGGCGGCGGCGCTGGGGATTGTTTGGGGTGTTCGCTGCTCGGCGGCTCGCGGGCGAATGGAGGGCGCAGGCGCCACCTGGCGGCCGCCCAGCGGGGCCCGCTCTCCTGGGCGTGGGGCGACACCTGCCGGCCGGCCGCGGCAGCGCCGCGCCGAGCGGGGTAAACAAGGCGCGGCGCATGCGCGGGGCGGGCCGCCATGGGCTCGGCAGCGGGGCCTAAAAAGGAGCGGCCGCGCGGGGCCGGCCCGCGGGACGCGCCCGGCCGCACGCAGGGCCCGGGCTCTGCTGGGGCAGCCCTGCCCTCACCGGCGTGACCGTCCGGCCGAGGCAAAGCTGGGCCTCCCCAAGTGCCCCGCGGAGGCGGTGCCGCAGGGCTCTGCTCGCTGCCTGCGCCGCGCCGCCGGGAAGCGGAGCCGTGGCCCGGCAGATAACGCACGGCTCCCCTCACGGGTGCCGGGTGCCTTATCTCGGGAGCGGGCTGTGCACCCCCGGCAGCTCGGGAGCGGGCTCCAGAACCGCTCTGTGCTCCTGCCCCTCGCCCCGCGTGCTCCGAGCCCAGTGAGCGCTTGTGGGTTCCTTCTTTCTGCCTGCGTGAGGGTTGTACGAATCTGAAGCGATCCCTATAGCCACTACAGAATTCCTAAAGTAACCAAATATGCAGTTTGTGACGCCTGTTTTTTTGGGTTTTTTTTCACCTTATTGTGTAATGCTAAGCACATTGCTCATGCTGAATAGTTCATTTGTGACGCCTGTTTTTTTGGTTTTTTTTTTTCACCTTATTGTGTAATGCTAAGCACATTGCTCATGCTGAATAGTTCCACGTACGATTATATTTAGATCAGTCTGCACAATAATAGTTTTGTGCTGGTAATTAGGCTCTAATCACTCTCTTGTGTTTATCTACTTATAATTTTGGGGACAGCGTTAGCATAACTAAGCAGTCGCTAAACCGAGTTCCTCTGCTCACCTGCCTAACAAAGGCAGGGTATTTAAGAGAAGAGGATCCACCAGCTCCAGTCTTTTCAAAACTAAGATGAGGCATCCCGCAGAGAAAATAACGCTTACAATGGAAACCGTGATCTAAAAACAAAATTAAAAAAAAAAAGAAAAAAACAAAGCCGGTGCAATGTAAATTGATGACACCTAGGAATTCTAGATACAATCTGTCGGTACATGAGACAGGCTTACAAAAATAAATTCTATTCTGTAGCTTGAACTCACATTTCAGAATAGTTTTGCACCTTCTGTCAAGTTCAGGGGAAACAAAAAAAAGAAAGACTGCCTTGTAGGGAACACTAAAATAGCATCCTGAATGCCCAGTTGTACAACCATGTTCACGGTTTCAATTACAGCTACAGGTGCTGCTGATGATCTTTCATGTTAATCTGATAGCGTCTGGAAAATGTAGAAGAATTGTGTATTAAAAATACCACACTTAATGTAAGCCTTAAAAATTAACTATATTGTTACAAAACGACATTTAAGAATACATGGAAAGGAGCTGGATCCATTTGTGCCTTTCCCATACAAAGTCAACTTCTGACAGCTGCCATATAGACAACCTTTCCATAAAAATAAACTACAACATTTTGCCTGCACAAAGAATTCCAGTAATGTGTCTTCTGCTTGAGATACAACAGGGATAACTCATACTAAAACTCCAATCCAAAACTTTGCAAGGTTATTGCAGTTTACTGCAGGAGCTGGCAGGAACACGAGGCAGCTCCAGCCAGCTGTGCATGAAATACATGTACAGCACATGGATTCTGTTCTATTCCAAAATCACTGCAGCTCACACTTGAGCTCACAGCTGAGAGGTTTTAGGTAAATGTGCTTACCTAATGTGAAGCAAACATGACACAGTTTTTCAGGTGTGGTTTTGAAGGAATGAGTGTGCAAGCGCTGACAATACCATGGCAGAGCTCAGCCCATTCCCAAAGCTGACTCAGGCTTTGGAAGCCCAGATCCATAACACTTCTGGGTGTCCTGACTCACAGGACAGAATTTGCTTTTTTCTGCTTGTGACAAAACATGGAAGCACTCTAGAGACCAGACTGCAGGTGCAGCAGCACACTGCAAGCCCCTGGTCACAGAGCCTGCCTAAGAGGATTTCGCACTCTCCAGCTCCATTTCCTCCCTCACAGTTGTTCCATTCAGCTGTTTGCTCAGCCCTGTCTTAGCAAAGCTGTTGCCTCATCGGAGAAGGGGAGATAGACGTTTGTTCTCTAAGGTTTGATTCCCACCCCCAGCCCAGATCATTCTCTGAGCTGTTCCAGTACAGCTGCAGGAGCACTGAGGTCAGCACAGCTGAAGGTGCTGAGAGCTGTGCTGAGGCCAGGAAAGTTTGTGCTCTGCTCCAGTGACCAGAAGACAGAAATTTCTTAAGTCAACTGAGCCCTGTGAGGATTCCTCACCTTTAAGGGGGCCAAACTGGCTCTCTGAAGAGCCTGACTCCTGCATTTTCCTCATGAAGAGATCGTGCTTCTGGGACTGAGCCTTCCATTTGGTACAACAGGGAAGATGATGAAAAGCAGTTCCTCTGCAAGCCCATCACTTCTTTCTAAGCTACCAGTTCCAGAGTGGGCTTCTACCATCAGTTCAGACTTTGGGGAAAAAAACAAGACCATCCTGAAGTTTCTATACAGTTTTACCATACTAGCATCCTTTCCAATACAATGAAAAATGTAAAAGCAAAACAAGTGCTATCTAAGCATTATAAAGAAAAAGAGATATTTTAAATTCTGACCTGTCTAGAAAGGATTTATATCTGATAGAAAAGAAGTTCTGTGAAAAACTAGGAGAAAGTATTTCACAGGACTATGTCATCTTTTTCAGAAAAGCTACTCTTTAGGTGCTTCAAATTCCACCATTTCTGATATTGAGCCCAATTTAGAGAGGATTTAACAAAGACTTTACAAGCACTGTTATTATGCTTGATCCAAAGAGAGCTTCATGATCAGTGACACAGGAAACAGAGCAGGGAGAGGGCAGATACCAATTCTGTGTCTGAATTAATGGCCAGAGGTTCACCACAAGAGAAGATCAGAATAAACTCAAGCTGCCAGATGGCTGATTCATTTTCCCAGGCAGGAGATTCATGCTCATGCTGCTTCCTTTCTTTTCATGCTTCTTCCTTTTCTTTCTCCTGAAGAATAGGAAGCCCCTCTGCTGTTCCATTTCCTCATTTGTATTATTAAAAAAACCCAAATAAACAAAACAACCAATCAAAAACAGACAACAAAAAACCAAAATAACAAACAAACAACAACAACAAAAAAAGCCACCACCAACACACCACCACCCACAATCATTTATTTATTTAAAGACTTTTCTTTTGAGAATTGAAGAAAGAAACCAGAATTTGTATACTGGATCACCCAAGGTGAGGTGGTAGTTTTGATGGCCTGTATTGAATAAGCCCTGACCGTACTTTTGTGTGTTGAGATGGGTGCAGAGGGAAAAAGCAGTCTTCCCAGTCAATTTTTTTCCCCCAGATTTTGAATCTGGCTTAGTCACTCCAGGGAAATCTGCTCTAAATCCTTTTGAAGATGAGCTATTACATAAGAAACAAAAATAAAGACCAAAAAATGGGTTACTTTCCCATAATTTGCAGGAGATTGCACATCAGTAGCTCCTTAGGTCTTTCCGTGCTCTGTGAATAATTTCTTCCTTTTTCCATTTATGTAAGTCTCCCTTGTGTGCCCCTATTTCTCACCAGGTCTTTCCAGAACACCCAGCTTGTGTCTGAATTTTCTTTGATTCAATAAGATTCTGCCTGTTCCTTCTGTGAAGGGGCACAGGATCACAGTTTGTCCCATACCACTACAAAGAAAGGAAGTTTTAACTCCCCTTCATCAGCAGCTCTAAACAAGAACAGGATCCCAGGAAGTTGCAGATGCCTTCCTGCTAATTGCATTATGAGCAGCAGCTTTACTCAGCCCCCTGTGCCACTTGTTACCCAAAGCCCTGAGCTCCCCTGTTTGAGTGAGGTACTCTTTCTATGTCTCATTCTTTAAGACAGCAGATTCTGAAGTTCCATCAGCAAACTGCTGTAAAGGCCACACCAGTTTTGGTAGGAAATAGTGAAAAGCCCTTCTCCTGGCTGCAGTCAGGACAAGTCACTTTCACCTGAGGCATCACCTCACCCTAGGCACAGGAATACCAATCAGGCCACCTCTCTTGGATTCTGGACACAATGTGCTCCAGTTTCCAGATGTAGGGAAGTTTTTGAAGATAGGCAAGACATTATTTGTGTTCTGTAGCTAAGTCCAGGCAGAGGAACCATGAATCAAGGTCCATTTTATGAGTCAGGCACTGTGACAGCATCAGTGACAAAGTCTGAGGAGGAAGCACAGGAACCAGAGAAACATGTTTCAAACTGGGTAAGCCAGGTAAGGGCCTCCTTAAAGGCAGCAAAGAACAGAGTGGGTGACAGAAAAAGGGCTGGGGTAAGAGGCTGCCAGGGACTAAGATAAAGTCAAGCAGGCCAAACAGCACAACTGATGCCAAGCAAGGCAAGCAGATTTAGCTGTGAAATTATATCATACTCTGGATGTGTAGGGCTCCCAACCCATCAGGAACACAAAGCAGTTCTCAGCTGGTCAGAGCTCACAGGGCTCCAGCCCCCCTGAGACTCTGATATGGAGCCAGGGCTTGCCTGAAAAGGGGAGAAGGGGCTGGCTTGTGGTTAGGTGAAATTAAAGTGGAAGTGAGACAGAAACAACATTATTCAGCTCAACCTCTGCCCAGGATCATAGAGCAAAACAATTATGAACAACAAAGTTGTTGTTAAACACAAAATAGTTTTGTGTTTAAGCTCTGAAGAAAATTCCCTATCAAATATATGGGACAGCACTCCTCTGTATGTGCAGGCAAACACAAGATTTGGATGATGTACCTTGTCTTTACCCCACGAATTACTGAGGCTGGAACTCAGGGGCTTAAAGGGGAAGTCTAGGCAGTGGGGGGTTGTTACTGACAGATAAGGTCAAGGAACAGATAACTCTCTCAGATTAACTGGTATGGTTTTCTGGGGCTGACCTACCACATTCCCAAGATCCTCTATAAATATCTGTCCCTAACACAAGCTTCCTTTGGTTTAGTTTTCACCATCAACCAACTTCAAGGTTTCTTTCAGACTGTGTTTCTCCTAAGTCACTCCCCTACTGCCAGTTGTGTCTGGAGCTCAAGGCCTTTTCTGCTGCCTCAACTCTGACACAGTGGGTGGTGGAAGCAAAGCAAAGTGTGATGGTGTCATTAGCTGAGATTAAGGGTTTTTGTAAATGGCACAATGCATAACAAGTAGCAAGGAATACAACAGTTTATGACTTGTTGGGGGATTGCACAGATGTTCAAAACCGTTAAGATAAAAATACTTCTTTCAGACTGTAACTTTTTTGAGTAACAGTAGCAGTCCTGCAAAGTGCCAGCAGCTGTGAAGGAAGTGTTTTCCCCTGCGTGGCAAAGGGCACACCTGGGATGCTCACCATAAACACCGAGCACAGCAAGTCCCACTCTCACTCCCCCAGGGAGCCCCCACTTCTCCCTTCCCTGCACCTCTGGTTCCAACTGTGGGCCTAGCAGAAGTGAAACTTCCAACCTGGAACATGGGTCTTCCTAAAAGAAACATGCAATTGCCAATTAGGCCTTTAAGAAAGCAACTGTTGACGAAGTTATAAAAGTCCTAAATTGTGATGCAGGTGTCCAATTGTTATTTTTGGTACATCTGTTTTGCAAAACACCCATCTGAAGCAACTTTTCTGGTGCTTGTACCCTGCGGGCAGAGCTCCCATACTGACTCCAGTAACACCACACAGTTGGGTGTGCAGGACAGGGAGCTAAAGCCAGTCCTGGACTCAGACTGAGCCCTCTGCAGCACAAGAGTTAAAAGGAAGAGATGCTGTGGCTTGACACCCACCTTGGAAAAGCCTGCATTCAGAAGATGAACTATTTGGCTTAAGTGGTGACTCTCATCACACACTGCAAAATGAAGTTACGTAAGAGAAATTGTTTCAAGAGTTTTACAGCAAGATCTAACAATATAAAATCAAAAAGACATAACATGAATAGATTTAAATGCTGTCTTGGTAATCTTTGAAGGTTATAATAATTCACTCTCCAAAATCTGAAGGTGACCATACGCACTTATACTAAACCTGGCTTTTTAGCAATTATTGTAATGATTCTTCACAGTAGGACTCTGAAAATGTGCTTTTCATTTTTTGATAGTAAGCACCATTTTTCAGTTTGAGAGCAAAACTAATTCCAGTCTCTCCAATGCATTTCCAGCAATTATTACTTATAAAGAAATTTATCTCAGCTAATACAATAGCTATCCTTAAATTAGTAATTATCTAAAGGCAACCAAATAGTTTTTGATCAGCTTTAAATATTATAGACTCACAATATAATTAATATAATTTTGTTCCAGATTTTTCTTGAGGTTTTGTTTATCCAAATCATTCATAAATTAATATATACCATCTTCTTTCCTGTTCTAGGAAAAAGCAAGTTTTTTGGGAAGTTAGTTACAGAGGCATGTTCTTTAGTTAACACTTATAGATGTACTGTAATGTTGTCACTATTGCTTAATAGGAATTAACAGTTAAGAAAAAATTGAAGATATAATCTGAATTTCAACACAGATTGTTTATCATCACAAGCCATTTTGCCTTCTCACAGAAAGCCACATTATAATTACAGCACATTAGTTGCTGTACAGCAGCGTCAGTAGAGCTCTTGAAGTGACATGACACAGTGACATGACACATTTGCCGAGATGAGAAGGTACTTTCAACAGCCTGAATCAGTGTGAAGCCATGGCAGGAGCAGGGGGGAGGAAAGCTTTCCTTGATCAAGTTTTCAAGCTACTCAGTAAAACTTAATGCATGTAAAGCACACAAAAAACTGGTGGGAGGGAGAGTATTCACTCATACTTCATTTCCATGAGGAATTAAGGTGGATGTGGGTAGATTGGCTCTTCCCATCTGACCCTGTGGAGAAGGGGCCAGCACCCTTCACGAGCCACGAGGCCAATCCTGCTCTGCACAAGACCAACAGGGAGAAGCCTCAGGGGCAGCACTGGAAGCACCTCTCCAGCTTCTCTGGCACCTGGCCTTGCTGACAGCCATGCACAAGGCAGAGGGTAACAAAGAACATCGTGGAACAACTCACTGTTCAGATCCTCACTGCTGCAGAAAAACCCTGCAAAAGCCAGAGAAACCTCCAGCTGCCTCTGCTCTGTGAAGAGCTGACCTTCACACATCAGGCGCTTGAACTTGCACACCCTTAAGGCAGAGTCTGTTCCAAGTAGCTCCTGAAGACCACAGCAGCAAAGGTCACTGTCCCTGGCAATGCTCCATCCATGGAACACCACTTCAGCTGGGTCTCACATGAACACCATATTCAAGTGCCTGCATTAACCTCCACCCAGTGATGATTCAATTCCAACCATCCACTGTATTTACATTTCTGTTAATTACAATGAAAACAAATAGAAAAGGTAACTTTAAAACCCATGCTGATTAACAGCAACACTTTGAAAACTTTAAAGAACAATTTGTCCTGTAGCTTCAGACAGACTGCACATACAGCTAACAAAAAATCCCACTGAAGAACTGTGGTCAAAACTAAACTAACCAGACAATGTTAAAATGAATATTTAAATACTCTAATTGAAAAAAAAAAAACAAAACAAAACAAAAGCAAAACCCCCAAAAACCCCACCAACAAACCAACAACCAATTCCCAAACTATAATTTAACAAGGTTTTGTTGTATTATGAGCTTAAGATCAAGTCTCAAACCAAATTTTTAAAAAGTCCAGACAGCTCCAAGCTGTAGAGGCAGAAGCTGCTGCAATCATCTGAGTAATCTGTGTTTCAAACCCCACATTTCAAGGCAGTGAGAAAAAGCTCCACACATAACAAAAACATCAGCTCTTTGGGTTCTCCTTATTTTAGCCTTCTGTTTCTAAATAAGCCATGCACTTCCCCTGCTTTCTAAGCAACACACTTCCAGGGCCTTACTGAAAACCCTTGTAAATCTCTCATGTACCCAGAGTAGTAAGGAGTTCTGCTACTACAAATAACATAACGGATACTTGAACATATTGCACAGCTCCCAGGAAACTCATAAAAGTCAACTTCCAGGGCACCTGTGTCCTGCTGCTAACTTCCTTTTCAAAGCCCCGTGCTTGCACTTCATTTATTTGCATCCTTCATTTCTGTCTCTTTAAACATTCAGCCCAGTATTAGAGGCCATGGAATTTCTTCTGTTTCTTTAAGGTATTGAAAATCAGAGTAAATTGAAAAAAAGTCTTCCTAATTCAAGCTGTCAGAATTTGATGACTATGCTAATTATTTTTTCACATTTAGTCTGAATAGAACTCTGATTATAGTTTCTTTTAAAAAAACCCTAAACCTACAGAGTTTGTCATTTTTATTTTGACATCTCACTAAAAGGCTTTTAATCCTTTAATGTCCCTAAGTGATTACAATCTGAATTGCTATATAGCTCTATCTTTTATAATATTAATGAAAAAGTTGCAGTAAGGGATATGTACCTAAAAATATAAAGCTTTTAAAAGTTAACAAGCTTTACCATGAAGCGATCATGCAATGTAGGACAAAGTGTTTGCTCTCCATTGCAGTGTGGAAGGTTCTGTGTGTGACCTACTTCCCAGCTTTTCTCAGACAATTTACATACTACATTTACTCCCCAAGTCACCTCCTTGCTGAGGTGTAGTTTTGTAACAGTTGAAGCTAAATTTGGTCCGGCTCCTTCGCAGACAGGACTGTGAGCAGCCTGCCAGGCTGTGCAGCCTGAGCTGCATCCAGCTGATCCAGCCTCCCTCACATGACTCAGGTCAGGCTTAGGTAACAACCATCTGCTTGAACAAGTCAGCACCACACAGGGTGCAGCCCTAACTAAACAAGCTATTTCTGGCAAGGGACACCAGCTCAAGGCTAGCAGCCCCCCTTGGATCTCCCTTGATATGGACAGAAAACCCTCCCTGCAGGGAAGAATGGGAGCTAGGAACAAGGCTGTCAGGATTGCCAGTCCATATCTGTCCCAAGAAATCCCTGTATGCATGAATTATCTGAAAAGTTAAGCTCCTCACAAAGGCACAGAAAGGCAAAATAAAACTGAATTTTTCATTAATTTCTAGTCATCATCTATTCCCAAGACCAAATTCAACCATAAAAAAAATAGCAAAACTAATGTTAGATTTATAATTAACAAACTTTAATCTATACAAACAATAGATTTTATTTTCTCTCAGAAAAAAAAATATATTCATTATCCTTAATAACACTCAGGTTAAATTAATCACTTTAATTACAAAACAAAAAGCAACAGAAAGCAGCTTTCTGGTTTTTTTTTTAGTGTGAGAATCAAATACACTGATCAAGGAACATCTGGGTTGCATTTGATTTTAAATATTCATACCATTACACAGCACAGATTTAAAAAAATAGAAAAGGTAGACAATATATTTCTGTGTATTCAAAACTTTAATAACATGAAAAACTATGTTCTGTATATTCTGTATTCTAAACCTTAGTGTGCAGAACTCAAAAATATATACACAGAAATGTCAGTAGTTCCAAAAAATAAGGAAGTGACATAATCAAGCAGTGTTCATAAACCAGCTGTACTTGAACACAAAGCTGTGATACTTCCAAAATCAGAAATGGGGGATCACTCCACCAAGAAATAGTTTAAATATTTTGAGGTGGCTCTCATTAGAATAGTTCTTAACTTTTGAATTTAAATGCTGCAAACTGACAGGAACAAAAATGAAAGATTTCTAACACTGCTAGTGAATTTTAAAAAAGCATTTTCTAGGAGATAAAGTTTAATCTTCTCCTATGAAAATATAAGTTATGAAGCAGTGCAAAGTATTAGCAGATAAATTAGTTAGGATGATGCTGTGTTACAAAAAAAACACATAAGAAAAATGTCAAACTGAACATATTTTTGTGTAAGGGGCAAATTTAAAATGAGCCTCCTCTCACAAAGGGCACAGGGTACACAAAATCTCCTTAATTTCTAGGAGTTCCCTTTTAATCAATAAAATTAATGTGCATTTTATATAAAGATGGATCTTCATGAAAAAAATTCAAAACCAGTTTACTGAAGACAATTTATACATCTGAACCAGAAAAACAGATAGGGAGACAGGAATTTAATTAAAACAGACAAACCTACAAAGTAGCAAAGTAACCATAAGGTTACAGCAGCAGGTTTGTGTGTATTGTCTGAATTATGTCACAACCAAAGTTACAGAAAAAAAGAGACTATTTTCAATCCTACATAATATTTTTAAAAAGCTAAAATCTCAGGTATAATACACATGTACACAATTATATTTTGAATTAACGTATTTACAAATTTTATATAGGGACAGGCTCTTTGTACAAACTCTATTTGCACAAACTTCAGTGATACAGAGTCCTACCAAAGTGAAGCAAAGGAATGATCACATAAATAAAGGTTTACATTACTTGGGCTTTCCCATATCAGGTCTATGAACTGAAGTTACAAAATATACATATTTGCCTTTCGTACATATTGCTTTTTGCATACAAAAAAAATCACTTAAGGAAAATAATTTGTAAAGTGTTAAAATGTGTATAGTTTGACAGCAGAAAAATCTAAGTCCTGCCATATGGTTACATTCTGGAATTAACTACATTTTTTACATTACATTACACATTTTTAAAGTAATAAAACAGGAAACATTTGCATCCGTAGTGCTGTGTATTTCACTAATACATAAAAATTTCCTGTATTTTCATAATATCTCTACGACACACAGGGCATTCATTAAGTAATTGAGCACATTCCTTACAGGCAACTAGGTGACCACAGGGAATGAAGACAACTGACACGTCCTTAGCCATACAGATTTTACAGAGCTTTTCCTCCTGCAAACGTCTTAACTTCTCTTCAGTACTGAGGTCTAAGGAAAACAGACACATAAAAACAAGTTAACATACTACCATTGAATCTCTTTTTTTTTCTCTTTACACACCAGGACATAGTGTACTTCATATGATCTAAAGGTCACACCCTTAAAAAGAGCAAAGAAGAACTACAAGAGAGGAATCCTAACTGCAGCATGGAATCCTCTTTTTTTATTTCCCCTTCTATCCCATTGCATCTCCCAGGCCAATGCAAGCAGGGAGTGCATCCATCTGTATTGGTAAGAGCTTGAAATACCTAGAGAATTTAGGATATGCAGATTTCAATCAGGAACCACTCTTTTCGCAGACCTCTCACTGACACAATTTCCCCAAAATTTGTACAGAAGGTGAAAGAAAGGCTCATGGCTATGCTACTGGTTAATTGGATTTTATTTCTTTTTCTGAGTTTTCCCAATGAGAAAATGAAGATGTGACTTCCTTCCCTGCCCCCATTTTCAAAATGCCCATACTTCAAAAAGCTCAAAATCTGTAACACAGAAAGAGTCAATCTGGCATTGTACATGAGCTGTTTATTATTCCAATATGCCCCATTTGAAAAACATAAAATTGAGACACCTTCCCCTGCCACTTGGGGAAGCTCTGCACAGCCAACCATCAAAATAAGGTCCAGTTGCACTGCAAGTTCTTCCCCCACAATGTCCTATTAAAACTCTTATTAAAGTGAGTGGCTTGGTAAGATCTCAGGTTATCATGCCAGCCAGATGGTCTTTGCCCTCCCTATGAATTCACCCACATGCTTGTCTTAAATGACAAGACTCCTGAATCAGAACTCCTGCATTTGGTCTATCTGCAGAGTGCACCACAAAGGCTTTCTGAGCATGACTTGCATGTCCCAGCAAAGCTGGAACATAAACAAACGAACAGAAACACCATTCAGATGCACACTTGTTCTTATTGGCCAAGAAGAAAAATACTTCTACCCCAAGCAAAATTATGTATTTAAAATAAATGCCCCCCACTGTGACTGTTTCATATTGAACACAGCGAATACGACAGCGTGTCCCTGGGCCCATTCCATTTTGCCACATCTATAGTTCATCTTATAACTATATTTTTGCTTTTGTTTTGAAATATAATTGTCATGACAATTTTGGCTTTTTTTGTTAGCACGTACAACCTTTCCCAGAAGCACACTAGACTGTCACTGTTACACACCTGTGAGATAGCAATACTACTTATTTTAGAGATGATATTTACTACACTCAAATATGATAACACCCTGTTTGTTCAGGTTTTGTTTTGTTTGTTTGTTTTTTTTAATGTCCCAAACCAAATGTCTTTAAATTTAATTACAATACTGTAAATTTACCATAGGTATGACTGGGATCAGAAGGTAGAATAAACAGATAACATTAAAAAATATTTCACAGACTAAAGAACTGATATGAAAGTACACACAGAGGTTTTGTAACTGAATAAGCTCATCTTGCTCAACTGGGATTTCATTTGGTTCTTCATCCCTTGTATTTTCTTTATGAGCACTTAAGTCTGCTACCAGATCCTCAACAGATGTGTGACTTTCTCCAGTCATCTGCAATCTCTTTTCCATGGTGTTCCTAATCTCAGACAAACTGAAACCCATGGCTATGGCACTTTGTACCAAAGGATTCTGTAAGAGACCATCTAAAACAAGAAATTAAAAACAAACAAAAACACTTTAAGAAGGATGAATCTGATTATCTGACAGTATTGACTACAGTACTCTAAGACACATATTTGCAAACAAATATGTAATCAAAGGAACCATATTTCCAATTTGAGAGTTTTGCTAATTGTAAATACTGCAGATTTGAGGTTTTTTCTATCCTAGCTTTCCCAGTCTCCCCTCATCTATTTTATATTATAGAAATCCTCATAGGTTTGCTGTTCAAATCAACTACTTCAAATTAAATAGCATGTCTCATATAACTACCATCACAAATTTTGTAGCTGAATGTTAAATGACATTCATCCAAAAAGGCACAATGGATAAGAAACATTACATCAATTTTAGTTCAGTTCAGAGAAGGAAAGAAACCTCACACGTGTTGAGAGAAAGCAATAAATAATTTGAATTTATAAAACCAAAACATAGCAACACCAACAAGCAAGCAGGTCTATCCATGGCAAGACACAACACTACTTGGGGAAACCATTATATAGTGTGATGGACCTTCCCCTTCCTTTTACTTATCAATATTGTTCAAACAGCAAAATTTTTGAATATTAATTTTTTTAAAAAAATAAACCTTTATTTTTTAGAAAAAGGTTCTTTTATTTTGACTCTCATAAATGAGCAGTATGGGAGAGACTGGTTTTGTGTAGCCACTCTTACAATCCATAGCTCCCATTCCCTGGGATGAAGCAGCTTGACTGGCCTCCTACTACCCCTTTGACTGTTTTGTCTTTTTATTGCTTGGTATTTGTGAAAAGCATTGCAGGAATGTGTAATCCTGGGAGCCATAATAAACTGCTTCAGCCTGCTCAGCCTCCTAGTCCTTGCACTGGACAGAGCAAGTCTTCCTGGCCCAAGAAGGAGGGCTGGTTCTGCTCAGGATTTAGCATTCATCCCACAGCACCACTAATTCAATACTTGATGCACACTCAATAGCTGTAGGACTCAGTCCTACACAAACTTCTTCCATGGTTCACAACCTTTACTTTACAATATTTACCAAATTGTAATTATACTTCCTCTAGAGAAATAAAATACACTCTGCAGTTCTTTAGAAGCAATGGAAGAATATCATCCAACATTTTGCCTGTAGTGCTTTATTTTAAAATGTAATAGGGTTATTTTTAAAATTAACCATTCCTGTCACTATACATTCAAATATGGATATTCCAAAATGGGGGGAAGCTGTTTGTTTTAAACAGATACCTTTAGGAATTATTGTCCCTTCAGCAGCTTCTGTCTAAAAGTGAAATATAAAGAAACAAAATTACAATTTGGAGAAAGTAGAAGGAAATACATACAGTTACAAAATAAAAAAATAGCTATTTGTTCTCGAGTTTAGTTTTGCTAAAAACTAAACATATATGCTCTGAACAACATGATCAGTATTTTGCTATAATTTTAACCCATCTCTACAATAACCATATGTACACAATTCTTAGTCTACAAAAGCATTCTAAAACATTATCAGTTTTACATTTTAATGACTACACACAAGTTTAACAATGTCCTACCAACAAGAAAAGAAAATGTATCTGCTATTATTCATCATCAACCTGGGGTTCCCAGGCTACAAAACAAATGGCACTGTTCAGTATGCAATGTACAACACTGACAAGGTGCCCTGGCTGTGACCCACAACCCAGGCTATGGAGGATGGGGAGATGGGTACAATGATTGACAGAACCAAAACACACTGCAATTCTTTCACTTTCTGCCAATGAAAGTGGAGCAGGTGGATTGAATGATAGGCATGTAATTAAAAGGTAACTTAGTATTAAAATTATGTTTATTTTTTCTATTTTAACAAAATTATTAATAAGCAAGAAACTTACTGTTGAATCCCTATATCCATCTTTTAAGTGAACATTATTTATAAATTCTATCCCCTTTTCATTGCTCACAAATCTGCACCTAAAAATAAGAATATTTAGATTTAATAGAACTGCATTAGTAGCAAAAATTTGTTACATAACTATGGAAGCTTTGATAAATTTCCTACATCATACAGATTGCCTGCTTTTAAAATCTCTAAATGTTTAGTCAACTCTGTGACGTCACTGTAATATTTCTAAGAACATCTTAAACACTTAAGAAGTACTTATCTTTCTCACATTTTTGGTGAAAAGGCAAGCTTAAGAGTTGTTGAGTATTTATCTTTCTCACATTTTTGGTGAAAAAGAAAGCTTAAGAGTTGTTGGCCATGACAACTCATGACACAGATTTCTAAAAGTAAAGGCTCACTCAAATTAAAAACAAACATAATGTTAAAATGCTGGTTCTTTTAGTCTTTCACAATCAAAGCAAACAGTCACTGGTGAAACAGGTGCCTTCCAAGCTTTCTTTCATTATTTTCCAGCCAGCCTTAGCCACTGGGCAGAGCTCTTCCCTACCAGAAGATTTAGGGAATGCCATAACTCCTTGACAAGAGTTCTCCAGCTCCAGCAGTTACTTCACCTTCAGGGACAGACAGCTGCTGTGAGACTGACACACTGCCACTGAGGCTGATATGTAAAACCTCTAAACAGATTTTAGACAACACTGGCAGTCTTTCTAAAAACTACTTCTGCGACTTCTGCTGCTCCTATGACTGTCTGGAATCCTCAGTCCTTTCAAATTAGAGAACCACGTTTTGTATTCCATGCCACTAACCCACGTCTTTCGGTTTGTTTGCTCTGTGGCAGCTGTTTAGTCACTTTGTATCTTGGTGTAAGTTACAAACTTTAACATATAAAAAGCTACTAAAACAACTATTACAATGTAGCACTTGGAGAACAAGAAAAACCTGCAGATACATATTGACAAAACTACACAATTCTTGCTGACAAAGCAAGCACTGGTTAAATCCAGAAAAAGATATCTTCCCTTTAATAATGCCACAAATAAGACAAATAAAATTATATGCATAAATCTAAACAGTATTAAACCATAATCAACCTTATGAAGCCTTTATTAGTAAGCTGTGTCATTAAAATGCAAGATACTGTAAATAAGACTCAGACACACACCAAGAAAGCTCTAAGGGATACCTTACCCAGGAAACCATTTGGCATGTTGATCCCAAGGGTCTTCATTTTCCTTCCACTCTTGCAATCCTCCACCACAGTGGAAACACACAACGTGATCACCATTACCTGAGGAAACACACAAGAATAAAATTTCATACTTTGTGCAGGTATAATACCAAGTTTTCAACTAAAAAATTCCATTAAGAAGTATTTCTTTTACTGATTTACAATTCCAATTGAAAATAACTCAATTTTAACAGAGGACAACACACATGATTTGAAGCAAATATTCAGGGGAGAACTGAGCTTAATGAAACACAAAATAAGAGAAGCAAGTTTCCTGAATTTTATTTTAGTAAGTAATTATGCAGATAAAAAACCAAAACCTAAAAATAATCTGTTATCATGGAGCTCAATTTAATGGTCAACAAGGCCTGAAGATGTCTGCCACAAAGAATGAGAGATGTTTACATGGCTTTGTGGACCTCTATTTCCCATTAAGATCAACAGCTCTAACCAGCAACAGCAAAACCAGCTGAGAAGGGCATCCTCTGTCCTAGCACTGTGCCCACTGTGATCCAAGACTGCCCCAGAAACTGCTCAAACATTGTTTTTATTGGAATGAGAGGAGGTATGGAGAGTGTTTCCACAGAGAGTTAAATTCTTCTCAGGCCACAGGGAGCAGTTTCCACAGAAGTCACCTGAAGAGCCCTCAGTCTGATAAGCTGGTGCCCAGATAGTGCAACTCCACCATAGAGATCTTTTGGTACTTTCTGAACCCCAGATGAAATCAGTAGAAGAGTTATAGTGGGTGCAAATATTGCCCATTTATAACCTATACAGGAATATAGCAAAGATTTCATTTATGGCCACAAGTAAAATAAACAGAATCATATACTATAAAGTTCTGAGACCTACTAAGAGTTAAGTAAGATGAGAGCAAGAAATTACCCCAGATAATCCCCTTTTCCCTGTGACTGAGAAAGAGCAACACTTTGCACTTATACAGTATCCCTCAGTATGGAATTTCAAAGGTCTTTAATGGAACTGTGCAATTCCATCTAATTGAGAAACCAATGCACAGAGATGGTGTCTAATCCAAATCAAACACTAAGAGTGTCTAAAAGTTCTTCCACTGGTACCACTGTCTTCACAAAGTAGGCAGTAGTGGTATTTGCTGCTTTTGGGTGTCCACGTGCCATGATAATGGAAACTCACATTAACTAAGTAAAATGGCTGGATTCTGGGTTACTCAGCCTGGATTCTGGATTACCTTGTTCACAGGCTTTTGCACAGGCTACAGGCCCATTCCTTACACCTAAGGTCTGGCAGACAGCACTTCATTTCTTAAAAATTATTAACTCAGATAATTGTCATTGTGTAAGATGTATTATAAAAGTTTTAACAGGCAAAAACACATACTTGGTTGTTTTACTGCTAAGAATAAATTTATGATCAAGTCTATGCTTTGCTAGTAAATATACTTGATACCATGTATGTAATTTTATATAAGAACTGTAGAAAGTAGATTACAGAATAAAGAGATTCTGGCAAATTGTTTTGTCAGACAATACCCTTTTCTGACCCAGAGATGGGGCAACTGAGAGGCATTTAAAAAACTTTTATTCCATTTTCAGTCTCATGAGAAGGGTGAGACAATACAGATGTTATAATTCATACTATCACAATCAGAAGCCAGATATGTCTTCTCTACAAATCCATTTCCCACGTTGTTCCATAAAAAATTTTTTAAAATTGGGGTTTTTTTCCATAACAATACACTTCCTCATGTACAATTTCTTTGCAAAATGTATTAGACATTTCAAGGTTTGGCTTACCTATGCTATAGAACCCAGCTTCTGCAAGTTGCTCCTTGTCAACAGGATAAATCCAAGATAAAAATGTTTGTAAACGTTTTTCATATTTTGCCATAGAGGGATTCCTTGGGTGCTGGGCATTGTTCAGACCACTTATACCAAGCTCAGAAGGAATAGATTCACTTGAAACATTTCCTACATCCCGGCCCAGGACAAAAAGGCATTTCGGAAAATGCCTCTTGTGTTCTGACCAAGCTCTGTCACCGGGTTCCCAGTTCTTCAATTTTCCACCACAACAAAAACATGCTACTTGGTCACCAACACCTGTATAATAAAATCCAGCATTAGCTAATTCCTGTGGTGTCAACTGGCCATTGAGGGGCCAGTTGTGAAAAGACTTTAATCTTGCTTCTTCACTGCACATAGCAGGGTTTTTAGGATACAAACTATCTGACATATCCACAACCTGCCTAGTTCTCAGAAGGTAATCTGCCTCCACATCAGGATCATCCAGAGCACCTGGGAGGGCTGAATTGCTGGTACCGTTTTCAGTTCTGTTCTGGGTAACAGGATCCATGTCACTCTCCAGAAAAGCAGATTCAGTAATAAACTTGCAGTGGGGGGCAAGCTGTTTGTGTCTCTCAACTGCAGAATCCCCAGGCATCCATCCTTCAATAGTTGTATGGCAACTGAAGCACTTCACTTTGTCACCTTCTCCAGTATAAACAAAGCCAGCCTGTGCTAGAGCCAGCACCGGGACGGGGCAGTCCTGTGGAAAGCCAGCAAAAGTCGCCCGTCGCTCCCGCTCCCGCGCCCATCCCTGGGCACCGTCACTGTCCCCAGAGGCTTCCCAGTGCCGGGGGACATGGCACGTCATCCTTCACAAGCAGGGCTCCCCGTGGATTTCCTAAACAAAGGATATAGGTTTCAATTTCCCAGACAGAAGGATAGATCATACCCATATACAGCCCTGGAAGTTGGCTAAATTCAACTACCATCCTCTACGTATTAAAATCACAACTCTTCCTCTTCTCTCCCATTTCATCCCTGCCTCCATCACCTGCCACACAGAGGAAAACCCAAAATAATAAAAACAAAATAACATTAAAACAAAAAATATTAAAACCAAAGTAATAAAAAAATTTGTAAAGAAAAGCAGAAAGATCAAGATGTCTTAGAGGCCTATAAACATTTACCTGGAGAACACAGGTTTATAGGTTTAAAAGTATGTTGTATTTCTTATTAAAGATTTCAATAATTAATTCAACAAAATACTATAATGAAGTTCTGGCCACAACCCTGCCAAAAGGCTTCTGAACCTGAAATACAAAGTTACTAAATTTAAAATACTGATCTGAGCCAGACCATAGTTGCAGGATTTTAGAGCTCAATTCTCAAACACAACTATATATTATCCTCATATGAAGGCCATGACTTCCATGCCCATTACAGGTGGGCAACAACTGGTAAAACTGTCATCAAAAAGAACAAAGTTTCTTTACTTGTCTTATATTGTAAAAACACATCTCAATTTATATTTTAGCAAAATATCTTGTGAGCAGTGCTGACCGAAGTGCTCGGCATTGCTTTTAAGGTCAGTGTGTTGGGACTACCCAGCACTAGTGTTCATGTCCAGCATACTGCTTCCACTTCTCCACACCCTGCCTACACCCTCTGTAAAAATTCCTGTGCCTCTGCCATCACCCCAGCTTTTCCTCCCTTCCCTACCTGAAGGAATGTCATTCTTCTTAGCACTTGTCACACATTCCTACCCCAGCCTATACTTTTCCAGGGTGAGTACCAACTACCAGTTCTGCCTCCTGTCCCTTCTGTGCCAGAAGGGAGCTCAGAGCACTCAAACAAGCCCCGTCTTTGCTGAGGATGAAACAAAGCAACTTGGCTAGAGCAGGTCCTGTGCAAGAACCACAAACTGACAGAGTCATCACCTTCATCCCAAAAGGGATGAAGTCAAAGCACAGTAAACATTCATCTCTTGTCCAGACAAGTGCAGTGATACTATTAACTTAAAAAGTCTTGGCCATTGCTGATACACACCTTAAAGTGGTAAATTAAACTATGAGAGTGCCCAAATAAGCTCCTTAGCACAAAGCAGTAATAGTTCAGCAATTAGCAAAAAGAAAGGCATATAAGGAAGAACAGAGTATATACTTAACTGAACAAATGTTCTTCTCCATTTTCTATAAGAATCCTGAAATATATCTATTTCCAGTCTGTATAAGGTAGTCCAGCACACAAAAATATATCTTCCTCAAGACCTGTATTAATATTGATCATACATTCTGCAACATCAATGCAGATGTTACAATGATTACTTCTGTAACACCACATTTAGCCTCTACAAAACCTTTTTTAGGGTTCAGAAAGGGGAGGGGGAAATTAAAATGCCTGTGTATTGCAGGATTGCTGCACCCTCTGCCAAGATGACAAAGATAATTAGGCTATGAGAGGTGAAGAAAACGTGACGTCAGACACCTGGCATGGGCGCTTCATGTAATCATGGATACAAGACTGACACCAGCCTTAATTCCTTCTGCCTGTCAGTTCATGACTAATGTAACAATAACACTACAAATTATACTGTGGCTTTCTGTTCTAGCTTAGCAAATTCAAAAATAGCACCTGAATAAACTGCATTGACTGACCTACAAATCTGACCTATATGTTTGTTTTGACTTTCAAGGGCAAAGAAACCCAAAGCAGTAATTACATTTAGTAATATGGAAGTTGTCATAAAACATGTGTTTTTATATACATGCATCTATTGAAAACAATTGTTTTTTAATAATGAAAAAGCTTATGTTTATTGCTCATGTTTATTCCCATATAAAACCTTACTTTAAAGCCTCTAGAACTGTTCCTGCGAAGATCTCAAGTGACCTTAAGCATCCATCACTACCACACTGTAATCACAAAAGAACTGGTATTACTCAAAACCAGTCAGCTGCACAGCAATTGCCTTATCTGTGTGCCTGAAAGACTTTCTACAAGAACACAAACAAAGCCTACCTCACATCCTTCAAAAACTCCTTTTCAAACTGTCCATCGAGAAAACCAAAACAAATGTATATAGCTTTTGCTGTATAAATAGCAGTATACCTCTATTTTTATTGTATTTATATAGAAATGAGTTCAGAAACAGTGAAAAAAAAATCTTCCTATTTAAATTTTTTACATTTTAATTTTTTTGGTTTTGTACATTAGTTTTTTCTACAATGCCATGAATACTTCAAAAATCCTTCTGTTAACATGGTGAATAAAAAAGAAATTATGCCCTGCCCATGGTAATAATGAAAATATTTGGCACATTTGGATTCTCTGGAGTCAATCCTCACAATCAAAACAGTATGAAAAGCATGTACCAAGAGAGCAATAAGTACTGACACAGCAGGTACAATCATAACAGATCAATTCTGTAATATGAACTAGCTTTTTCAAATTATATCAACCACATAATGTAATCATGATCACTTGGAGCAGAAAGGTTCAAGTATCATTCTAACAGCCTCATCTGACTGCTGCAATGACAGAAGCAGGGCCAGTCCCTCCCAGGAAGAGGCAAGGCTTAACAAGCTCCAGCCACACCACGAAGCCTTCCCTTACAACAGCCCCTCCAACCATGGCTGGTTTACATTTCACCATAGTTTTATCTATGGGAAACATCTTTATCAAGCATTGAGGCAAACTCCTTGCCTGTGTAAGTACTATTTTATATACAACATTAGTACTACTTTAAATAAAGTATCATGTTCAATTATTTCTATTTCAAACAACTGTTAAAAGCAACTATTCAAAGTGTGAAATTGCAGCTTGCTTAGGAAGACTACTTCTGCACGTTTTTTAGCAGTTGCCTAACTCCAGTTAGTTGGAATAATGATCTAGAACAATATCTGGCATCACAACAGCACTCAGACAGATATTAACTGCAGTAGAAAAATGAGTAAGTTTTTTAATAGTTTACAGCTAAGAAATATAAACTCACAAAATTCTGCCACCTAAGATGGGCACACAAGACTTTACAATATATACCAGCAGCCAACCTGAGGTCAGAGTATACTGAAGTTAATGAAGCCATTTTGCACAGGTTTTAATACCCAGATATTTCAACCATTATGGAAGTATTATAAGTATTTTTATACAGCAAGTAAACACAGTCTATTTTAGCCTGAAAGGCTTCCAGAAGCTAAGCCAAGTTTAATCCTGATTTTAAACATCTGAAGGCTATTTGCCACAAGACACCACCCTCCTTCAACCTGAATTACCAATCTATATAGCCTACTGATTATGTTTCAGGAGAAAAAGTAGAGACAAAAATATATAGCAAAAATGTTAACTTTTTCAAAATGCAAAACTGTACATTGTGAATCTGCAAATCAAACATGTTTAATTCAGTTTTAAAAATACTAACAGGTATTGATTTTATGCAAAAATACAACATTATCATATTACCTAGACTTGAAAAGCTTCAAAGGAAAAGTACAAAACTCACTTTTCCCTTTTAAGTATATTTTACTGGATGTGATTATTTCCATCCTTAACCCCAAACTAGATTGGCATTATAAGGAGTTATTTTTAATTCTTGTACATGACTAGCATGGCAGTAACCACCAAGTCAGAAATCTCCTTGCACAGCCTCGTGCTCCTGACCAAGTGGTACATGCTAGTGTTTATTGTTGACTGAATTTTGAAATGTGAGTAGTGCACCAAGTAAATATCAAACAGAACATACTGCACCAGCTGACACACAGATTATGCACATGTCACTTCAATGAACTTCAGTTTCTGCTTGCTCAGCTGCAATTAGATCAAGGAAGGTGCATGCTGCTAACTGAAAACCTACTTATAAAGACTAAAATGACCATAAACATTATATATTTAAACAGCACTTGAAAATTTCAGTGTATTTATATCTAATTATCAATAGCCATTTAAAAAAAAGTTATGTTTAGATATTTTTGATTTATATTAGAAAGAGGGTATGTATCCACAGAACAACTCCTGATTCAGTGCCAAAGCTTACATAACCCTATCAGCTCAGCTTTATTTGTCTGTTCTTCCAACAGGTCCTACTTAGCCTGCCGTCAGGGTTTGTCATCACAGGAAGTCAGTCAGCTGCTGACTGGGTTACAGCAGGCTATTACAGCCTCCTAATTTTTGACTTAAGTCATAGAGACTTTCATGCTCTCCCTGTCTTCAAAATGCACATAACCAGGCCAACAGAAACATACCATTTTGAGAACTATTTTCACACTGTGATTTTCTTCATGAAGAAGTCACACAGGTATGGAACAGAGAAATAAACAAAAAAGATGGCTTCATGGCTGCTAAGGGCAGAGAAAGAAAATCCTCTTTGAGAACTTCCAAGTTAAATGTCATCAGAACTTTAGCTGTATGTATGAGAGGGAAGGAGTAAATACCAGCTTTTATAGCAAAAACTGGCATGCTGTAGCCCAGGTAAGATACTGCTCTTGTGGCCAAGAACCACTGAGTCAACAGGGGGTATTAAAAATAACAGCCAGTAGTAAAAAATGCCTATTAAAATCTGCAGTGCCCTGAGATGCACCTTCTTTCCTGATGAGCTGAGCTTCAGCTTTTAGCGCTACATTATTCTTTCTCAATAATTTAAACTTCTAGGTGAAAAAAAATATGGGAAAAAATGGCGTTTTTGATCAGGGAGACAGCAACATGATTCATGCCACAGCAGAACTGCTGAATCCTCTGGATTCTAAGGCAGAGCTGGAGAAGCACCGGGCCTGCAGCTCCTGCCCCAGCCACCAGCGAGGGCGTTCCCTGCCCCGCCCGCAGCAGCCACGCCGGACTCACGGCTCAGTCACCCAGCTGCAGCTCAGAGGGAACAGCGCCCTGGCACCTGCCCCTGGCACCTTCCGGGGCACAACAGGAATGCTTCGCTATTAAATCTGCATACACACATGGATATATATACATCCATATATAAAGTGTGTGTGTTTATGCACACACAGCCCCCATCATCTTGCAAACTTGGAAATCTCTCTTGGATTATCCATTATATTTTATTTTTAAGTTTGTCGGGAAATGGGGATGACTTGGGAACTAATTCTAATATTTTACCAAAAACAAAAGATGAAAGTTGTTCCTGTTGAAAACACTCTGCTTGCCTTTTTATTTAATAAGAAATTCTCTAAATCATTGAAGGGAAAGAACAATGATCTGCAAGACATGTACAGCTTGCTTTTACATTTTATATGATAGGAGTGACACTCAATTCAAGCTTTGCAGCATGCCCTCTTCATCTTAACAGCCTTTCAGTCTTCACACACAGCTACACTTTTCATGTTTAAAAATCTTGTGGTTTCTTGAGCCGCACTTTAAAGCATCATGCTCAGAATATTTTGGATTAGAACTCTGCAAAAAAGACCCCATGCTATGAAAAATAAAATGCAGCAAAGGACTGTACACTGTTAAAGAAAACAATGCAAAAGGTACTTACAACAGTTTTCCCTAAGGAATTAGTATCCAATCAGACCAAGTATAGCAATGGACTAATCAAAGCAGACACCAGTTTCATTGCTATTTTCCACCAATCTTTAGAACAAATTCCAGTATTTACATTCCTGTTGGTAGAAAAAAAAAAAGAGGTTAGAAGGTTACTCTTTCACATAACCTTCAGCATTGGTTATGAAGCCACAACTTCAAAGCTATGACCAAAAAAAAAAAAATTAAAGTTCTGTCCCTTGGACAGATAATCCAAATTAAAATATAACCAAAAGCTGAAAGAGTCTGAGGTCAGGGAAACTCTGAAATGTAGACGGATGTTATACTAAAACTAGTAAGGGACATAAATTGGGGATACTCCTTTACATCCAAAGACAACAAAATAAAATCCTAGAATGAAAAACTAGAGGGCAGCAAAAAGGAGAAAGAATGTAAAGCAGACAATTAAATCCCATGATCCAGACTTCTCTCTCCTAGGAAATTCTTTATCTGATTATAAACTGGATTTCTGGAACTCTTCAGCTCCCTGCAGCTGTACCACCCACCTTGGGAGGACAGCAACAGAGAGAAGTCTTATTGCAGGTACACACAGCCAGAAATGAAATCTATTTTCATACTTCTAAAATTGAGATATGAACACATATTTCCTTACTTTTCTGATAACAAATGCAAGTCTGTCTCATATCAGGGGGAGCAGTCAAAAAAACCCACAACCAACCATCCTCACCAGCATTCTTTCACTTTTGCTGCTGCCTGCAAAGGGCAAGGTCAGAGGAGATGCAGAACAATCATTAACTTATTCCTCTGCCCTTCTTGGCCAGTGCTGTAGGTGCCAAGCTTTTCATAACAGGAAGTAGTTGGGATTCTTTAAAGGACCTCAAAGAAAACTGCACACCAGTCAAATAGATAGCAAAAGGAAGCAATTAAGAAAATTAAAAATATCCAAATAAAAGCTTAACCATCCAATCCATCACACAAAGACTTGCTTTCTTAGAGACAATACTGCACTGTTGTCTTCTCTGTTATGTGGTGATTTACTTCAGGATAAACAATGAGTAATTAAGTTAATCTGTGTCATACTGCTCTTTGTCCAGGTATGAGATTAAAAAAAAAGGTAATTGACAAAAAGGTAAAAGAGGGGTTTTTCGTGCAGTTGGTTGCTTTTCCTTCAGAACTGGTCTACTGTAAGATCTTGTAGGTTCTATATGTTCATTTAGGAAACTAAATTCTCCCAGTTAGCATGAAGTATTTGCATTAAAATTGCAATGTAAGACTGTAGCAGTAAAGGGATAATGAAAGTAGTGCTGCAAACACGTCTGCATTTTGCAGCACATACAGATTACAAACAGTGCAAGAATTACCCAAACCAAAATGCATACTTACACCCATTTATAGGGCTTTCAGCAGGAAGACAGAAGCATCAGACAAGTAGTACAGAAGCAGAAATACACTTACTGTTAAAGAGAAATATATAAGCATATAATCATAGACATTGTGCAAAAGAAAACTGCTTAAATTATCACTGAAAAAAATTACTTTGAGTGAACTTGTCCCTGTAGAATTCTTAAGAAATACTGTAATCGAACAAAACTGCATTTTTATTAACAAGAAGCAGTTCTAGAAAGTGACTGGCTTAATGAAAATAATAAAAGAGTGAGCAAGGAGAGATAACAAATATGTCAAAAGGACCACAGAGACCACAGAAGCGCTCATTAGCGCAGAAAATTTTTCATCCACTTTCAAAGAGCAGCACTGAAGGTTCGAGCCGGGGCAGGGCTCGGGACGGGGTCGGGGCCCGGCCCGGCCCGGCCCGACCCTGCTCACCGTCACAACCCCCTCAGTCTTCTCGGTCCCCTCGGCCCCTCTCCTCAGCTCCTTCATTTTCTCCGTCCGTTCACTGCCGCCCTTCCCAGCGCTCCCGGCCTCGCCTCTCCTCCCTCAGCACCTCCAGCAGCCCCCTCATGTCACACCATCTTCTCCAGGCGGTTTCACGTCTGGAAAATGCTCATCCCAGCGCTCTCCTTGCTCTCACCTCTTGTCCTCGCAGAATTACACCTTGTTGAGATTTAAATCTGTTAAACCACCATTTTTTTGGGACTTGAATTTTCCAAATCAGACAGAAGCTTCAGGCTATTTTGTTTGGTAGCTGTAGCCAAAAAATCATCTAATCATTCTCATGGCTAAGACTAAGATGGTCCTGAACATTAAAATGTTGCTTTAACTTTCTTCTCATTTTTAAAATCTCGGGTGACCTCATTGCTGACCAGTACACTTAATGTAGCCAGGGTGCTTGTTTGTCTGTTGGGGACCTGCTTCCTGCTTTCCTCAGGAAAACCCAGCTACCTAGAATAATGTTCTCACCCTTTTCTGGTTTTCCCCTCGTGCATGTCAACAGCAGCAACTCACTTTTTGCAGACCATATATCTCCAAAGACATGTGGCAGAGAGTGTGGACAATTTCAGGAGAAGCAATGTAATTATACAATTTATTAGAATGTTTGCAGATTCCAGGGCTTACACTGAAAGCCCTTTTGAGTAAGGATTGCTTCTCACTTTGTTGTCCATCACCTACTGAGACCACAGTTTCAATCAAAGCTTGTAGTTATTACAAGTAAGTATAGTATAAGGTAAATGATGATTAGTAACAAACTCACTTTGATCAGAAAAAACATATAATGATTATTAATCAAAAGCAATATTCAATAACTTAGGATGGAATTCCACATACCACTTGCTCTTCGTTCAGAAAAGAATGACCTGCAATCTAGAACATAATATTTACTGATGCAGCACAGTGGTGGTGCTGAGCCTATAAGAAATAAACAGCTCCATTGCAGTACTGAGTCACATCCATCTCAACTTATTCCACATCTGTCCAAAGCCAAGATTATTTATTTAAGACTCTTTGGCACAATAAGAGGTTTGCACCTTAACACTGCAATGTGAACATGAATATTTAATCTCCTAAGTCCTTGTCATACCACATTATTAATACATTCATTAGCAGTGATTTTCACAAAGGCCCTTGCTCTGTTGAGGTTTGATACTTGTCCAAATGAAGCAGATTGTTTTCAGAGGTCACAAAGTGGTTTTGCAAAGACCCACTTTCATGTTTTGATGTCTAAATCAAGAACTAAGGTAAAAATTTAAATAAAAAGCTCTCACCCCTGCAGGAGCTTGATTGCCTCTCAAAAACCTTTCCATCAAAAAATATGAGATTGAAGAACTGAAAAAAACCAGATAATACCAAAAGTATAGTCTCTTTGAAAATTTTCTTTACACAATAGTGTTAAAAATTTCAATCAGTTACAACTTTGAGTCAGATAAACATAAACTGGACTTAGCACACAGTTCTTTGACACAAACTGTTTAGTCAACAATGGTTCAAGAGTCACAGAGGTTCATATGGGAAGTTGTGTTTGTTAAGAAATTAATGTAATTTATTTCCTACTCATCTCAGTGACTTATTAATTGGACCATCAGTACCAAATTAATGAATGGAATGAAAAAAGCTATGCAATCCAGAGCTGGATTTCAGAGGTGCAGCAAAGACGAAAATCAAATATGGAAAAATCACAAAATGGCCACTTGACAAGGAACATTTTCTCCTGAGTATGACAATAGAAAATTGAATAACTAAAAAGTAACAGATGTCTGAAAGCTGTCTTTTCCCTTGAATTATATCCAGTGCTTTCATTACCATTGGAAGAAGAGATTCATTTGATAGGAAAGCCATGCATTTCTATGCTGGTCCACAGAAAATCAAATCTAATTCTCTCTTCCAAAACAGAATGACACTCTTTATCCACAGCATTTACTATTACAGCACATTCTTTCTTTCTTTTTGTTGCAAGCAGGTGATAAACATCATTCTCGTCACATTTTCATGAAGGCAGTAGAGGAATCTGAAGGGAAGTTTGAGAAAAATAGAGGCATAATTATAGTACAGAAACAGGAAAAGCTGGAAAAAAAACTGATGAGCCTTTTCAATTTCAGCAATGGAATCTTATGCAGGAGAAACATTCCTATAAATCCCAAATCCATTGTTGTCAGACAATGCAATAAAATACCTTCTCATTAAAAATAAAACCATCGAATAATGGCAACAGTAGCAAACTTGATAATAACTTTACTCTGTGGGAAAGTTAGCATCTAAACATGTAAAAACCAAATCATCCTTTGATGACTTAGTATGCTGCTGCTGCTGAAACTACTGTGAAGTTCACTTCAGGGTGATGTCAAATGAGAGACAAACTGTTTACATTCTTTCACAATCCACCGAGCAGACAAGCTAAGATAAACGCCAAACGAAGAGGAAAATGCAACTAGTGATTTATCTTAGTTCTGTTTGAACTGATTAATGCAAGAAATAATTATCTAGAGCTGGGACTTTGGACTTAGCAAGCATGTGACACATGACTACATACATGGTCTTCTATTCATAATTCCTTCATGCTGGAATATGAGTTCTGGCACACAGGTACTATGTAAGTTTGATATAATAAGTAGAAAAATGGCAAGCTCAAGGCAATGCTTGCCTATTCCCTGCATGTTTCCATATGTGTGGCCTGACAGGAGAAAAGAGACAGAGAAGAGCAAAGAGGAATGCTGTGGTTAACAAATGTGTCCCTTTAACTGATCACTTTGGTCATTAATTATCCCCACATCCTGTTGATGATGTCTGAGAGTTCTTATATATGTGGGAAACTCAACATGACTATCCAAATCTTAGCAGAGTAAGTTTATTAAATGTTTTATATTGCTGTAGAAACTTAAAAAATACATTCATCACATGTTAAAGGCAGATGTATTTAATTAAGGATCCTCCGACCTTGAACTCATGCAAATTATCAGGAAGAGATGCAGCAGCAGAACAGAGAGCAATGGACAAGGTGCCCCAGATCATAGTGCTTTCCACACTATGATCAAGAATGAGGAATTCCAACTAAGAGTTCCAGAAAGAGCTTCCTTGACTCCTAACAGCCTGCAAGCCCCAAGTTTAGGTAGGGGTTCAGAATTTCTCTGACATGATTATCATTAGCCACAGACACACTTCATTGTAACATACTTGGTATCTGGGGTACACAACCCAAACAAGGCTGTGGACCATGTGGTAAGAGCCTGATTTACCAAATTCAGGTTTTACCTTCAAACCTTCACATTCTCTCATTATCAATGCACTCATACTGTTAGCCCCTCACAGTAAACCAGCACGAGGCACCCATGCCATGGGATAAGTGCCTGCCAACTTGACTAACAGCCACACCAACAGCTCTGGCACACTGCAGGTACTGCCCACCCACTGATAAGTGCTGACTGTTTGCAAACGTTGGCTTCCTACACTTCCTGCATCACCAGCACCCAGCCAACCCTCCCCAGAGGCTCCAGCCACCTGGAGCTTCTCTGCTCACAGGCCAGAGGAGAGGGGCAGAAGGACAAACTGAGCTGCAGAGCTGCTGGGACAGCAGCACGGGCTGCCTGGCTCTCCCAAAGCTGGACACACTGCCAGGGAGCTGACACAACAAACCCTTTGTGTGTGTGACCACAGCCTCAGGAAAGCTCCAAAAGGGATCTTGTCATCAGAGTCATGCCATTTTCTGTGGGATACTTGTAATCCAAGAGGTGTAATAATCCAGAACCATCCTGAAGAATATCCAGCTCCTAGATCAATGACTGACTGATGAGCTGTGAGCCCAGGAATATCTTCTCTACAAGTTGTACTTTGCCTTTCTGCATTAGTGGACTTAGAAAGCACTAAAAGACTCCAAATTACACTGCCAGTGATATTGTCACAGCTCAGTTTGCAAAATATGCAACATTCATAGATTTTTTTGTATTTTCACACTTGGCATATGCTTATCCTGACATTCCAGTAATTGACCTTGATATGGCATTTTCAAGGAATGGAAGACAAAATATTGCTTAATTAATTTATTAGTTTGTTATTGTGCCATCATTCTTCAGAGCAGGCAAGCAGGAATTGTCAATGCAATGGTTCTGGCTCAGGTTGGGAGTAAGGCCCATTAGATCAGCTTGTCTTCATTTTTCAAATAAATCCCAGCAGCAAGTGTCTTAGAGATCTCCACTTTTCCACTAACATTTTTCCATTTGGTGATACTGGGACTAAAGAAATAATTATCCTTTTCCCAGGTTTTTTTAGGTTTATCCATTGCTCAAAGCTGCTGCTGAAATAGAGATTTTGTGTGGGGTCTTTTTGTCTTTCCTCATCAATGATAATCAGAAAAAAACAATTAGGATTCTTTAGAGCTATATGCTCTGATGGGAGAAAAATACACATTGAATAAGTGAAACATATTGTCAAGCAAATAACTGATCTGCTGCCCACCAAATGCTGTTCCAAATCACATTACACCAGGCATTGCTTCCAGTACCACTTCTAACAAAGCCCCTTCTTCACAGGCATTGTGCAGAAGAGTTTAATTAGTCTTTCTGCCTTTCATTATTCACCAGCAGGTTTCATGAACATACACAGAACCAACGAGTTAAGCCTTGACCAGAAGATGCCCAGGCCAGTTGGGTTTGGAAATGGAACCCAAATCTACAGTCGTCTCTTGCCTGTGTTGGCAAGTGGTAAGAAAAGCAAAAAACTCTGAGTGAAACAATGCTGATTCCTGTGAGCTGAAAACAAGCAAAGCTCTCCATAATGGTGTGCTCCTCCACATTCACTGATCTGAATTAAATCTGGGACATTTTATAG